AGGGAGCGGCGACTGGCGCTCGGACGGAGGGGGGGTGTGGGGGGTGTGTGCAAGCGGCACCTGCGGCCCGGGACCGGCCCTGGCTGTGACCAGCAAAGCCCCCAGTGCGGTGCGAGGGGCGCTCGGCTGCGGGCGATTGCCCCGAGCGTTTGATCGTGGCCGGCGGGGTGCCGTCCTCTGCCGGCGGTATGGCCCGCCTCGGGTACCTCGCGCCAGACGTACAGCAGACTAGGCCCGTTGTGGAAAAAAAGAAAAACAAAAAACGTTCTCAGTCTGATCTCTTTTAAGCGTCTGTTTGTGTAAGAGTCCCCAAAAACTTGAGGCTGTTGGATTGCTGCAGCATGGTCCCCTGTGGTGGTGGTGGTGGCACCAAAATCGGGAATACGCCTCTCCACACCACTGTAGCGTTAAGAAGCTGGCACTCTCTGCATGACAGCGCTGGGTGCATGCGGCATCGCTCCACCTACTGCGCACACCAAAGGACAAAGGCACACACCCCATATACAATAAAATAAAGAAATACGTAATTTCCAAGAAGTACCCGGCTGTTCCCAGGGAATCTAATTCATACATTGTGCAAGCATACTAAAATTGGGGAAGGGTCTCTGAGGGGCTTCTGTGGTGGTCCCTAGTGGTTGTTGAAGAGGTGCCTCTTAGTGTCTTTTCCATGAACTCTGACTCTTTCTTTCATAAAAGGTTTTGGCTCATTGCTCTGTGGAATTTCTCTGGTTCCTTATCATCTTGGTTTCAACAGGTGTCTGCTGGTTTATCTACTCTCCCCAGGATGTACCCACCAGAGCTGCACAAATTCTGTCCTTGGTTGCATTCTTGTCTGTGGCCCTTTACAGCCATTGTATCCTTGGGTGCATTCCTGCCTGAGGCCCCTTACAACAGCTGAGATCCAAATACACAAGGACTCTACTGTTGTGCCCTATTTTTAGTAGTTGGATAAAAATAAACTAGTTTGAATATTAATGTGTATTGGGAGTTTTTACATTGTATTATATTGTATATACAATATATATATATTTATATTGTATTACATTGTATTATTTGAATGTTAATGTGTATTGGGAGGTTTTACAAGTGTAAACCAGTTCTGTAAATTGCATAGATTGTAATCCACACAGAAAAACTCTGGATTTTGTTGAGCTAATTAAGTTCCTAGTGCATACCAGATTTCAGCTGGACTGATGGCAACCACAGGTGCTGCACGTCCGAACTGGCTGCATTGTACTTCCCATCCTATGTTTGAGAACAGAGGTTGATTTTCCCTGTCTAGTGCCAATGGGTACACTAGGGTTTGTGATCCCACAGTCAGAGTGGTTGGTTGTTTTTATCAGCTGCCATAACAAGTGCAGGTGCCAGTATACTCTGAAGCAGGAGGTTTTTCCAGATAATTCACGTACCTTCAGGTAATTCATGTACCAAGTTCATGGCAGAGAAATTCATTAAGGGTTATTATGTACACAGAAACTACCTGACACTCAGGGAGTCCCTAACTGGATTCTGGGAGATACTTCTACTAGTCAGGCCACTGTCAGAAATATATAAGGTGACACCTCTGCCTGACTCTGCAGTCATTTCTTTCTAATTTGTTATTAAAACATTATTTTTAAGTTCAAATATAAAATTGTTTATAATTGAAATTATCTTCCCTTTGAAACTCGGCTATGAAAGTATCAATGCATCATTGTCTGTAGTCTGATCATGTCTTTTTACAGAGGTAAAATATCTTTTCCACAGTTTTTGAGACAGGAATCAACTATCATAGTAGGCAATACCATAAAGTACTTATTAATGAACTGAATTGGAAGACACACTCTAAGACCATTTTTTAGTACAAGGCTCTTGAATTATGTATACATAATTATAAAATTTATTGTTACACACTATTCCTAACAGAACATGACCAGCCTCTTGTCAAATCTGAACTTTTCAGCAATGCTTACAGCTTTTAATGCTTAAAACAACATTTTCTCAAAAAACAGGATTAGCTTCAGTGTGATTTTGTTTCCTGAAATAACAGCGTGATGCCAACATAGTTGTTACCTAGTGTAAAGCAGTACATACCCTATTTCATTTTTTGTTTTCCGTTGACACGTTTTTAGATAAGGATTACCTTTGCAATCAAATAATTCACACTAACTTTGATGTTAATTTAATGCATTATTTCTTAAACATTTGAGTTGTGTGCTCATATTAATATTGTACAATAAGGTTTTCAGTGCATTGTGTGGGAATAAATACCGTGTTTGTCCACTGGTATCCACCATCTTCATTTTCACCACCCATAATGTAAAAAATTTAACTGGGAAATCTTCAGAAAATGCTCAAAAATATTGCTGCAAAACATGATACTATACTTTCAATTCTAACGTTAGAGAAGCATCTTCTGGGAATGTGCCTTGATGTTCCTGTGCATTCAGAGCTGACGATATGGAATATTTCCCACTGAAACTCTTGAGCCAAAACCCTTCTCCGATTAAAGACTTGTTCTGTAAACCTCTCAAGATCAAATGATGGCTTATCAGCAGTTTCCTTCAGTTTGAAATATGCATGTGCTAAACAACTAGCAGGAAATACCCATTCTTATTCTTCATTTATTTGTAGATAAAGTGATATTTATCAAAGCTGATACTAAAGTTACCAGCTGCAAAATGATGCATGACCAGTGTTCACACCATTTTATTTTTTCTCTTTTGTAAGTATTCCTACTGCAGCCGTGTTGTTACCTAGAAGTAGAGAATAGTTTATTTTGCTTTCAACTCTAACAAATAGCTTCTGAAAATGTTTTTGCTGCTTCCATGCTTTGATGCATCAGTGGCTGAAATAAAGCATGCCCTTTTCACCCACCTCTTCAATTGCTTTTCAGTTGAGAGTACCATGAAAGTGTTCTTGGCAATCTATAAAACTTTTGTATCACAGCATCCATTTAAAAGACGCTCAGCAGACTGAGGCAAGCTTAATGCTAAAACCAGATTTAATTCAGTTTCCTCTAGCTTAATTTCATTTTGCATTTTAAGAGCATGGAAAATGTATAGGAGATATCTAAGACCTGCTTTAAGTACCATATATTTGTGATTACAACTATCTGTAGAGTATTTAAGGCCTGCTTATGTTCATATAGTAAAGGAATGAATGTTTGAGTGGTGTTGAGTGTTTTCTGAAGAAGTGTGGTTTGGAGCAGAATATTGGGCTTGATCTGATAGCCTGAGAGCACAGAAAAAGTGCTGTGAAAAAAAGGCATGAGCACTGGAGGCACAAGATCAAGAAGCCTGACTGCTTAAATGGATATTGCAGATGACCGCTCACATCATCCCAACTGTGGCTTGAAGGACCAAGGGCAGCAATGAATGATGTGGCACAAAAGAGGGCAATAAATCTTAAACTTGCTATTGTACTTGGAAAAAAGTCATTGTGGCATCTTCAGTATTATTATATTATTATATTATTATGCATCTCCATTTTATGACATGAGTAGGCACCTAACCCCTGCTAGATTCTGGGCTCCAATAATGGCTTGAGATAAAGGATTACACACTAATATTTGTAAGTTTTTTCCAGTGGAAGTTTATATTCAGTGGGAGTTAGCTACCACATATATATATATACAACCCACATATCTATATATGAACTAAATTTCCTTTATGTCAAGGAAGTCATGTAGGGCCCTTGTAGGACAGGATTAATCTCATTCACAGGTATATGTTGCAAAGAAATCAGATAAATCACATTTTAGAAGAGCTGTTTCTCCTCGGTTGCTACTGAGTGCATCTTGTTGACCCTTCACTCAGGTGTGTAGAGACATACGGGACTCTCACCATAGGAGGAAAAGCATCCCACCCTGTCTGTGCCAGAGTTCCCAGGGACACAGTGGAAGGCTGGCTCCAAATACTGGCGGGAGTACAGGCCAGAACTCCCTGACTGACGTTAGTACCTATGCACTTACCCGTGGTTCAATGCTCTTCACTTACACAGAGAAAGAAAAAGCCTGGTTGGGTTGATGGTGGTGCTATGAGGAAGTTACCATATAAAGATCTTTGGACAAACATTTCTGTTTCTGGTGTTGATACTCTTTTGACCATCACATATTGTTTATGTTATGCCTCGTATGTACTGAAACACAACCTGGTCAGAATAAAGTAGATTTTGCTTCCAGTTGGTCAGGCAGGCAGCAGACCATGAAACTCTGTAGTGACCTCTCTGTTGGGGAAAAGGAGAAGAATTGAAACAGAAGAAATCCTGAAACTCAGCTTAATATTACTTATCAGTTGATAGCCTTCAGTATATTTAACAACAGTAACTAATTTAGCATTTAATTCCGATGTGTAATGTGTAAATCCTTATCTTCCTTTTAAGTGAGGAGTAAAGGTTACAAAGGTTAGTAGCAATGAACAAATGTAGAGCAATCATTGCAGATTGGTGGTTATTAAATACTTAGCACAAAGCATCCAACAGTTACTTTACCATTACATACATTATTTCATATTTGCTATTACGTACATTATTTCAGCACTGTCGAGTTTAAGGAGTTAAATTCACCTGAGTGGAGTCAGTATTTCTGTACTGTCCTTTCTCATTATAGAAGCCTATTTCTAAATCATTTCTCCTGTACATGCATTTTAAAGGTGTGTAATTAACTGGTTGCAAGTTGTTAGGCAGTTGATGAAGTGTGAATGGGGCACTGATTTGTTTTCTTTATTTACATGTTTCCCATAATACTCTGATGAGAGCAAGGATGTTGAGGCTTTTTTATCCTTTGTATTTTTCATTGCCTGTTTCATCAGATTAAGTGATTTGGGAAGCCGTTTGTAATTCCTCACATTCCATTAAAAATTAGTGTCCAGGGAAGCCTTAACCAA